TCGTTATAACAACTGACCCACATTTCAAGTAAAGATTCCAGGCAGCATTTACCAAAAGTTATTTAAAGGAATTATAATAAGTTATTCCTTAGAGAAAAGCGAGATGGAAACTCTTATTTCCCAATCCAAGTCGGGGTTAATCAACAGGTGAAAAGGGGACTCAAAGAGCTTATAAATGAGAAATAGCTGTAGTTCCCATATTAGTTTTCTATTCTTAAAAACTAAGAAAAATAAAGTACACTCAGAACTGCTGTGAGAATTGAATAACCCATTATAAAATACCTAGCAAGGCTTTTAGAAGATAAGGCAGGCTTTAGCACACCAATTTACTAATACATGACACTCTACACTAACGAGTAAAGGAATTTTTCCTTTCTCAAGGACAAAGAGGATGGAAGACAACAGCCACAGAAATTGAGAAACTAAATTCGATGGATTAATTGTAACTGACTTTGTTGACCTGAAAATCTTGTGCACTAAGCTAGCTGAAAAAAGCAGCACTACGGTTCACTCCAGCATAGGAATCAGCAACTGGAAACACCAAACACTTCAGGAAAAAAGCAGATATAATAAAAAGTCGAATAGGGAATCGGCTTAAGACTCAACTAGATCCCCCACTTCACTCTGAATTAGGGGACTGGTCATCCTCCTGTAAGTTCTCAAAAGTTATTTTCTCCTACATCTTTCTTTTGAGCCAGTGAAAAATACACTGCAGAAAAATGAAGGCATAAACCTGTGACAGGCGTGAGACATGGCTAACAGGGACTTCAACAGAGAGTTACATGATTTCCAGAATAATGGTCAAAGGAGATTCTAGAATGAGTGAGCACCAGTCACACAGGCAAAACACAGACTGGACAAAGCACATTGGTCCGGGAGGGACTTCTCCAAGGAGAGATGACAACAATAGGAAAATTGGAATTTCTAAACAGATGGAGCAGATAGACCACAGAAAACTAGGTCACCAAGTTATTACTGCAAGAAAGCCACCACCAAAGTACAGGTAAGAATATGATGCATTATTTAGTTGTGAACAGTAGTACATTACCTTAATAATGTAAATATTCTTAAACTGACTTAATAAGGTAAATATTGAAATACAATTATGTTGAGAAGCCCAAGAAAGAAACACGGAATGGGTGGAAAGGAGAAGAGCTAAGTTTTGTACTTTCAAGAAATAATGATTAAAATTAAGGAGTCAGGTAAAAGCAAGTTTATTCAGGACCATGATTTTAACAAATCCACTGTTAAGCCAATTCTGACTCATACTGATAGAATACGGATTTCCAAGGCCGTGAATCTTTTACAATCTTTAGAAAATCAAAAAGGAAAACATGCTCAGCATAACTTAAATAGAAAGAACTCAAAAATTCAAGCCTTATGTTGGAATACTGAAAAGATTCTACACGTAAAATGCTGCGTGCTACAGGAAGCATCAAAAGATAGAAATAGTCACTGTACCAAAAAGTCAACATTCAACCATGCAAGAGGTAGCATCTGATCAAGAACAAATGGTACTGAAGAAGTCCAAGCTGCATAGAAAGCATCAGCCAAAAACAAGGTTCCAAGAATTGATGGAATGCCAACTAAAATGTTTCAACCAGGTGATGAAGCACTAGAAGAGCTCACTCATCTGTGCCAGGAAATTTGCAAGACAGCTAGTTGACCAACTGATGGGAAGAGATCCTTATTTGTGCCCAGTCCAAAAAGAGGTGACCAAACAATGCGAAATTTACAGAACGTTACTGATTATCACATGCAAGTTAAAGATCACTAACAGTTGCAGAAGTAAATTGACAGTGAGCTGCCAGAAACTCAGGCCAAATTCAGAAGATATGGAACAAGGGTTATCCCTGCAGTCAAAAGACCATGACTGGAAGCAGAGAATGTTAGAAACATGTTCTAATCACTAAGACATGTTTTGTTATCTATGCAAAGGCATGACTGTGTGGACCAAAACCAACTGACAGCCTTGTGAATGGGTGTTGAAGTTACATAATCTGTAAATGTGAGTGAAGGGGTGGAGTCTAGCCTGTTAATAAGGTCACAGCTTGATGGCCTCATTTGGAGGCATGGAGATAAGTAGCTCACTCAAGGCCAGACACTGTCTGCCCTTTCCTGCTGTTGAGACACCCAGAGAGCTGGAGGACACACAGACCTACACCAGCATTAAGATGATTCTACTGCCACTGGATCCACAAGACCTTCTACCTACTGGCTTGTGATCTTCCTGCATCTTCGATGCATTTGGCATCATTGCATGTGCTGCATGAGTCTAAAGATGAATTTATGGACTAGTATCAGACATGAGCTAATATTGGACTTAAGGACTTGATCTAGACTGGGTTGCTTTAATATACAATTACCCTTTGACATAAAGTTCTTTCTTATGCATACATGAGTGTCTCTGGATATGTTTCTCTAGTCAACTCAGACTAACACAAAGGGAATTCTAGGACACTTGGGCTCACCCAGAATCTGTACATGGATCAAGAGGTAGTTATGCAAACCAAAAAAGGAAATACTGAATGGTTGAACATCAGTAAAAGTGTGTGTCGGGGTTGTATCCTGTCATTCATATTTAATAAATCTGTATGCTAAACAAATAATCCTAGAAGCTGGACTACATGAAGAATGTGGCATCAAAACTGGAGAATGATTAACAACCTTTGATATACAGATAACACAACCTTGCTTGCTGAAAATAAAGGCTCAAAACACTTCCTAATGAAGATTAAGGATCACAGCTTTTAATATAGATTGCAACTCAAAGGAATGAAAACCAAAACCCTCACACCTGGATAAATAGGTAACATCATGATAAACGGAGAAAAGCCAAGACTTGTTCAGGATCTCATCTTGCTTGGATCCATAATCAATGTTCATTAAGTCAGGAAATCAAAGGACACAATCCATTGGGTAAATCTTTAAAATATTGAAAAGCAAAGATGTTACTTTGAGGACTAATGTGTAGCTGATCCAAGTTATGAATGGTATTTGCAATCACCTCATATATATGTGGAAGCTGGACACTGAATACAGAAGAATCAATTTGAGTTATGGTGCTTGTGAAGAATATTCCAAGTATCATGGGCTGCTAAAAGAACAAAACGATCTGTGATGGAAGAAACAGAGCAAGAATGCTCCCTAGAGGCAAGGTGTGAGATTGTCTTAGGTACTTTGGACATGTTATCAGGAGAGATCAGTCCTTGGAAAGGACATCATGCTTGGTAAAGGGGCAGCGAAGAGAAAATTCTCAAAATGGATCGCCATAGTGGCTGCACCAATAGGCGTAACAGTAAGTACAATTGTGAGGAGAACACACAACTGGGCAGTGTTTTGTCCTGTGGTACAGTGGGTCACTAAGAGCGGGAACTGGCACTAGAGCATTTAAAACCAATAGGAGCAACCTGCCTCTTTTCCTCATGGAGTAGTTAATGGTTTTGAACCACCAACCTTATATTTAGCAGTCCAACACTTAATTCTACAGCACTACCAAGGCTCCTTCCTTATGGTAACAAAAGAATCTGCTGAAGAGTAGAAAGTGGTTGCCCTGGGGATCAGAAATGGCAGAAGATGAATGTATTGATCATTTTAATTTAGGAAAGAAAAAATCTTGTAGGAAAGAATTTAGTAAAGAAAAAATCGATTTGACTTTTAAAAATGTTGTGACTTTGATTTAAAAATAATTTTTAAAAATCTAGCATAGTTCCTAGTTCATAAAAATTACATAATAATGTCTATAGTTTTATTATTATTCCATAATGTTTACAGTTTTATTGTTATAACAAGATATCATATCACCATTACATTCATGCTAAGGATAACAATACTTCCTTTATTAAAAATGTAACTTGATCTTTAAAAACATGATATTTACTATGTCTAGAGTATTTGGACATGCTTAATAATTTTTTAAAAAAGGATAAAACATTCCAATTTTCTTTTACTAATTATTTTTAAATAACCTACACACAATTTTAATTTTAATAAGAAAAACAAATTATTTTACTTCTTGGTATTTAATACAACTCCCCCAAGCATGCATTACAGCCATACAACAGATTCTGTCATCAATATGATGGTCCTGGCATCTTACATATTAGGCTCAGATTTAAGTCCTATTTGTTCACATAAAAATAGGCAAATTATGACTAGGCAGTTCATAAAGAAGGAATACAAGCAACCAGTAACATTAAAGATAATGTTATAGGAAATACAAGTTAAATAAGATACCATTTTTCACATGGATTAGAAAATTAAATACAAAAAAGAAAACAAGTTGAACAAGGAGTAGGTTAAGCCGGGGTGGGCACACATACACTACGAAACGGAAGTGTCAATTGTACAGCCTTAGAGGGGAGCAACTAGCAATACTCAATGCTCTCCTATTGTTTTAGACCTCTGCCACAGCTGTTCCACTCCGGGAACCTTCCTTAACATGTACCTCAAATTCAGCTACAAGAATATCCGCTGCAGCAGTCCATAGCAATACACTTACGACAACCAAAATGTCTCAACATGGGAGGAAAGTGTGAGAAAATTATGGCACAACTTCCTTACACTGTGTAGTGGCTTTCCCTCAACGCCATTCAGCCATACCTGCTGGTGGACCTTCTACCTGACCAAGGGAGTCCACATGACCACCCAGAAGCCAATGTGGACAGGGACGAGTTTTCTCAGTCAAGGGAAACGGAGGGGAGGGCTTCAGGAGGCCTGCCTTCCCCACTGGTACACTGAGATGTGAGCCAGGTCCTTCTTGGATGCGACTTTATGCGGATGTGAAGTCAGCTGTGATGGCAGCAGCTTCGGTGAGAATCAGGGAGACAGGCCTAAAGCAAAGCCAACGACCTGAGCATGTGAGAGCCAGAACGCGGTCTCAGGACACCTCGGGCTGTGCTATAGGAGACGTGACCAATTATGCCTGGACCCTGTTACCTCCAACCCAAATCATCCGACTATCGCCACACAACGGAGTACTGTACAACCACTAAAACAAGTGATGCCACAGAGTTATCTTTATTGACGTATATGAACAGCAGATGCACAGTTCACAACAACCAAAAACCACACACAAACAAAAATGGTCCCATTTTTAAAAAATAACTGTTTGGAAACTTCATTTACCAAGAAAAAATTCTGAAAGGCTATACTACAAGGTTTTAGAAGTAGTTATCTCTGAAAAAGAGGATCTAAATGTTTTTATTTTCTATTTTTTTACTCCTAGACCAGCACATATTTATAATTCCTTTTACTTGTCAAGCCAATGTGATTTAGGGGAGAAATAAAGAGGTAAGCCTGTTTAATTGAACAATCTTGAACTGGAAGTCTATTTTTTTAATAGGAAAGATGGTTGCAGTATTTAACTATTTTGAAAACAAAATTTGATATTAGGTATTCATTTTTCAGTGAGTACCAAAGATTATGAAGCTTTCATTTTTCTTTGCTACTCGGGATCATATCATGATTTTGTACCATTTCGTATTAGTATTTCTTCTGTGAAGCAAAAACAGTCCCAAAATGAAGGATCTTCAGGTGTCATAGGAACAGCAGGGGCTATCAAATCATTGAAGGTCAGAATCTTAAACTGCTTCTCGGTAGGTTTAGCATCATCTTGAGATGGAGCCTAAAAGTAGGTAAAAATATTATTAAGCTACAATGCAATTTTATAACCAATTTTATAAATATGAAGGATGGCAAACTTCATTTTGATGGTAGTTAATTAAAGCAAGATTTCTAGACTATTCCTTTTATTCTTTAGTTTTGCAAACGTAACAAATCAAGAAAAAGAACAAACAGAAAACCTCACACACAATGAATAAAACCGTTTAAAATATACATTTACTGAATTCCACATCCATAAATTCTGATCCAATAGATTTGTGCAAATGGGACCTCAAAATCTGCAATTTTAACAAACAGGCAGGTGATTCTGAAAGTAATGGGCCATATAGCAAATGTGTGTACATTGCTCCTCTAGAGGGCAGATCGCATAAAACTCTTATGACTATAAAGGTGTAACATTTCTTAGGAAAATTATTTATTCAACACTGAATTTATCCAGAATCGTCTAGTGTGATCTGTGATAGAGGCCTGGTTTATAACTCAACACAATGCAGCCCTCCCTAACTCAATACTTTCTGCTATAGATAATAGGGGACTTTACATTAACCAGACTGGATACCCATTTTATGTCAGACCTTGGGCCTGCACTGCCCTCTTGTCTTCTCTCTACTATGCCAGGGTTACCTAATTCCTATCGAAAGAAATTAAAAGCAAATATTACATAAGCAAATGTTTTAAAAGCTGTAAGCTCTCCAGAAACACATGTAATTACAGAGTATGAAGCTGGGAATTACATAAATGGGAAAGGTAACTCAGATCAGAACACCTTCAGACACTAGTCAACGTTCACTTGTCTTCCTTTGTGAGGAAGTAACCAATAAAGAATTCTAACCCACTGATAGGTTGAGCTATATTCCATGGGTAGTGGTGCATATATGTTCATTCTTAAAGGCAGGAACATAGTTTGTTATGTTAGCCTATCAGTGTTCCTTAGATAAACACATCTGCAGAAGCATCACTATATAAGGGGCCTTTAAAATGTTTGTGAAAAAATGGAATTAAAAGATAATGAAATTTTTCCATGAGCATTTTTAAGCCTCCTCATCCTAAGGCCCCTATCCCCTTACCAGAAAACTGAAGAAAGCATAAATAAATTATGACTGGGCAATTATATCACACAATCTGTCCCATGTTTCACACTGTAACTACACAAGTAATTCAGGATACTTTTGAAAGGGGGAAGACACTCAATTGGAAAGATATTATCTAGGAATCTTCAACTTCATGCCTTTATATTTCACAGTTTCAACTAACCAGGAAATAAGCCCCAATTAAGATGACTAGGATAGTGACTATCCTGAATTTCTATTGAAAGTATGATCACTATGACAATATTATATTTCTTCTCTATAATACTTAAGTGTATTCCACAGTGAAGAAACAGGTGACATGTTTTCTTCATTCAGTAGCAGTCAAAAATGATGTTAGGGATTTGATGTTGAAAATCTATTTTTATACCTACAATCTTAATTAAAAATCCTCTAGCTCAAAATAAACAATATAATTCTTTCCATAAATAAATAACAAAATAAACACTGATTCGTGCTTTTTAGAAAGGGAAAACAAAGTCGGAAAATTTCTAAAATCTTACAACCTGATGTTTAGATCCATCGGGTTTCTTAAGAGCTACTGCGACAAAATGATGCTCATCAATTTTGCTTTCCTAGAGAAGTAAAATAGACAATACACATTACTAAATATCTAAGAACAGATGCACTTTTGTTTCTATTTTAAAATTTTCAGTGTATATATTGCTACACATGCCTATATCGATACATACATGAGTAGATATGTCCTAGTCTATCAGGCCATTTAAAGATAAGTCACCTATACCCTGGCCTGTTATTGCTAAATACTTCAATATACATTCCCTATTAGCCAATCTTTTTTTTTTTAATCATTTCATTGGGAGCTCTGACAACTCTTATAACATTCCACACATCAATTGTATCAAGCATCTTTGTACATATGTTGCCACCATCATTTTCTAAACATTCACTATTTGAACCCTTGGTATCAGCTCTTTTTTTTCCCTCCCTGCCCCCCTCACGACCCCTTGAAAAATTGTGAATTAATATGGTTTTCATATCTTACGCCGACTGCTGTCTCCCTTCACCCTCGTTTTTGTTGTTTACACCCCTGGGGGTGGGGGGTGCCGATCCCTGCGATCAGTTCCACCTTTCTCCCCTCCTCTCCCCACCTTCCCCCTGCCCTCCTGGTATTGCTATCCCAATTCTGTTCCTGGGGGATTTATCTGACCTGGATTCGTATGTTGTGAGCTCTTACCTGTACCAGGGTACATGCTGCGGTCTAACAAGAACTGAAAGGCAGGACTGTGGTCATGATAGATAGTGGGGGGTGAGGAAGCCTCAAAGAACCAGAGGAATATTGTGTGTTTCATTGGTGTTATACTGCACCCTGGTTGACTCATCCTTTCCTTGTGACCCTTCTGTGAGGGGATGTCTTATTGTCTATAGATGGGTTTGGGGGATCTCTGCTCCTAGCCCCCTTGTTCTCAACAATTTTTTGTTTGTTTCTTTTGGGTCTTCTGATACCTGTTATCTAATTCTGTCGACACCTCATGATCACACAGGCTAGTGTGCGTCTTCCATGTGGGGTTGTTGCTTCTCTGCTAGATGGCTGCTTGTTTAACTTCAAGACTTTAAGACCTCAGACCCTATACCTTTTGATAGCCAGGCACCATCATTTTTCTTCACCACATTTGCACCCATTTTGTCTTCAGCGATTGTGCTGGGAGGGTGAGCATCACAGAATGCCAGGTCATAAGAACGAAGTGTTCTTGCGTGTGGGAAGGCTTGGGTAGAGGCCCAAAGTCCATTCACTTCCTCAATGCATTGTCATATAAATATATGTACATAGGCCCAAACCTCTACTTTTATGAATTTATTTCCATAAGTGCACACCTATGTTTATACCTCTGTCCATAGCTTTGACTCCTAGACCTTTCTTGTTTCCTTTTTTACCTTCCTCCTGTCCCCAAATCCCACTCCTTCTTCTGCCTCTTAGTGATTCCTCTCAGCTGGATTGCTGTTGCTCCACCACCCCCAGCATCTCTATGTTCTCCTCATTGTTGCTTTTACAGTCTTTTTTTCATATAACCACAGTAATCATAAAATTCAACACTAATGTTGTGAGTCCTAATTTGAAATAAAACACGATTCAATCTGGCAGCATCCTCACACACACTGTTGTCTGAGATGACCGTTATAGCTGTGCAACCCGTTTTGTTAAGGCTCTTCTTCTTTTTCGCTGATTTATTAAACATGCGCTCCTTCTCTAGAACCCGTCTCTCCTAAAAACATGTCCAAAGTATGTCTCCCCACCCTCGCCTTTAAGGAACATCCTGGCTGTACTTCTTCCAAAACAGATTTGCTTGTTCTTCTGGCAGTCCATGTCAGATTCAATATTCTTCACCAACACCATAATTTAAATTCACCAATTCTTCTCCAATCTTCCATGTTCACCGTCCAGCTTTCACATGTAGATGAACAACAGATTGGAACAAGAGCCCACTGAGAGTATTGCAATAAGCTAAGGCAATCTGGACACACTTGGCAAGTGCCAGAAGGGAACATGTCACGTAAGCCAGACTGACTATATGACCAGGGGAGAAAGAAGAGAAAACAGAGGAGGGCCTGGGGTTCTCATCGGAATGACCAGGTTTAAGTAATATTATAAGAAAACAAAGTTAGAAAGAGAAAAGAACTTGAAGGGCAACTACTGTACTTACTCGTGTATAAGTTGCTTTTCAGCACATTTTTAATGTAGTTTTCGTAGTAAAATTAGGTGCCTCAGCTGATATTCAGGTCAGCTTATACTCAAGTATACATGGTGCATACTAGGCTGCTTGCTACCTGCAATGTCAGCACTTAGAAACCAGCAGCCACTCCTTGGGAGAAAGACAGGGCTTTCTACTCCTCTACAGAGTCAGTCTCAAAAACCCACAGGGACAGTTAAAACTCTGTCCTATAGAGTTGCTTTATGTCAGCATCGATTCTATGGCAGTGAGCTTCGTTTTTTGGTTAAAGTGCTGATAGAATTTTCAGGTAGAAACACAAAGCAGTAAGAAACAAGTCTGAAACTGAGTTTAAAGATTTGGTAGCAATATATAGTACTGTAGCGTGATTGAGACTGCTAACAGTGAGAGCCACAATAAAGGATACACTTACGTGGTTTGGAAACCAGAGCAATGTAGTGATGAAGTGTACTCTGTTCTAGGATTTAGTTCTTACTTCTCTTTCTATACACTATTCTTAATGTTCTCTTTCTATACACTATTCTTAATGTTCTCTTTCTATACACTATTCTTAATGTTCTCTTTCTATACACTATTCTTAATTTCTCTTTCTATACACTATTCTTAATGTTCTCTTTCTATACACTATTCTTAATGTTCTCCTGGGTCAGAATCAACAGTGGCAGTGAGTTGGATTTTTGTATTCTTGATGGTCTGATAGTGTATTGTACACTAATAGCTCTCTTACTGACAGTTCTGTTTTCTTAAGGGTCTCAGCTCCCTCTTCATAATATCTCACCTTGAGTGTTAATCAAAGGCACCACTGAGATTTACCTTCCTCATTTTTTTTTTTTT